CTGCAGAGAGGAAAATAAAAGCACGCAGTAAGGGGCCCACAAGAAAGGAAGGAGGAAAGAGGAGAAACGAGTACAAGCCTTGCCCCACCAGAAGAGGTGGAGAAGGCTATGAAGGAATGGGTGGCAACTATCCCTGGGGGAAGATAGGGAAGGAGAGTTGGACGTCTCCCTGAAAGAGAAGCAGGAGAAAGAGAGCTGGAAAGAGAGAGGAGCCCCCTGCGTCGTCAAGCGAGAAAGCAGGAGAGACAGTTAGAATGGAAATTGCAAAGGAGAAGACGAGGCAATTGGAAATGGCAGACAATATGGAGGAGGAATAGATGACGGCAGAAGTGCGGATGGGTCGAATGGGAGAAGAAAAAGAAATTGGGAAAAAGATTGACACCCTCTCCTGTGGTTTGGCTTTTGTTATGGCAGCTCAACGAGAACAGATAAGACACCTTTGTGGACACAGTGTAGCACTTGAATCCGTACGAGCCGGATTCCATGACTTTGCCCAGGAGATGATGATTCATCTCATCAATGAGATGCGGATCGCAATCGGTAAAACAACGAAGTTTTGTACCGGTGCGATTGAGGTTGTCAAGATGGCAGTCCCCAACGAAGAAGAGTCGCAACCCTTCCGAGAGAGAGTCAAAGTTTGCTTCCCTGAGCCCTATAGTGGGAAAAGGGGTGAGGACTTTGACAATTGGGAGGCTAGCATTAAATCATATCTGTATCTACAAAACATGCCTCTCGACAACAAATGACCTAATAGCCTTTCAGGCTTTGAGTGGTGAAGCGACTACTTTCGCGCGAGAACACTTTGCGGATGTTACTAGATGATTGAAGGCGTCCGACAAACTCCAAAGGATCCATACGCAGCCTTGGAAGAGTGTTCACGCACTAAGAGACACTATGGACGAACTCATTGTTGTGTCTAGCCATGGAGATACAGAAGCATAGCTAGTCCAACTTTTCTACTGCGCGTTGCCCGAGCAATTGTAAGGGCATTTCTTCAACAAGAGGCAGCAGCCTGGGATGACCTACGATCGCCTTAGTAGGGAAGTTGTTGCCTTCGCCGCCAGTCCATGACAATTACCACTTTCTGGAATAAGGACTTGACTAAAGGGAAAAAGTGGAAGGGTCGCACCATCTCTGGCCAAGTCAAGGACAAAGGAAGTCTAATACTAACCATGGAGGAAGGTGGTGCAGAGGAAGTCCCCTATACAAACTAGAATGGGGACTTGAGGAAGAAAGACAGGAGTGCAAAGAGGGGGAGTTCATATGTTGTTGTCGCTGCCGGAGGGAGGCTGCAAGGAGAAGGACGAGGTCGTGGTTGAAGTGGTTAGGCCTCAGGTGATCGAGGGCAAGGCGGCCAGGGGGGTGGCGGCAATAGAGACCGCCAAGTGGGAGGAAGGGGTCAAGGTCCCCCGCTTAACCGCCCTATCTCAAGTCGGTCACCTCCCAGAAGGGGTGAATGGCACCCAGGATGACCTGAAGGCAAGCCCTCGGAACCCCTAGGCCTAGAGCGTAATGTTTAATAGGATCACGTGGACAAGTTTCAATGCGTATTATGTGGAGACCCTGGCACATTCTCAAATTTTGCACGAAGTACAAAAGGCCTAATCGTGTTGCACTTGGGGCAGCAAAAGGCAACCACCAGTAGAGGTGGCAATTGTCCCTACCCCAGGAGCATGTGGAGATGAGCGTGCGCGCGAAGTAGAAATTCCCACTCTACGTGTATCCATGGTAGAGGTTGCTGGCCAGCACCTAGCTAGCTGCTCAGATACAGCTTGTGTTAGAGTCTCTCAAGTGCTTCCCTCAGAGGCTTGGCCGAAGAGCTCAAAGAGGATGGCCAGCCTGGGCCAAAATGAACAAGAATGAGAAAGGACAACTATTGTTAGCAGATGTATAGATCTTTAGATCTAGAGTAGAGGTTCTTATAGCTAGTGGGGCCACGATAAGTTACATCAGTAGAAAGGCGCTGAAGTAGTTGAGGCTAAGCCTCAAAGTCCAAAAGTTGGAAGAGCCTGTAGTTAGCATCCTCACAAATAACCGCACCATGCGGATCAAGGAGTACGTCGAGGAGGTCAACGCGTATTTTTGCCTAGAAGGAGAGGGAAGGTACAAACGATTCTCCATTCCCTGACTCTCCTCGTAGAAGATAACCTCCGTTTTGATATAGTACTTGGTACTGGTTGGGGAGAGGCAATTGGAGTCACTTTGCACTTTAGAGAGCATGAGTGCAGGCTCCCTAGCCCATCAGGTGGGATTAAGAAAGCCCGCTTGTTTCACGAGTTAAAAGTTGATAACTCCTTAGCACATTGCTGCCTTAGTGCTCCTGCCTTCACTAGATTTACAAAGAAGGAGCAACTCGAAGAACAGGTATTTGTAGCTTATGTAAAGCTAGCATCTGACCAGCCAAAAGAGGAAGATAAAATCCATCCCACTATTGCCAGTTTGGTCAAGGAGTATGCAGACATGGTTGAAGCACCCTTTGGGGTAGTGCCAAGGGTTATTCAACACTTCATAGAGATAGAACCTGGCAGTAAGACGCCTAAGGGAGCAGTCTACATAATGCCTCCCAAGGAATTAGAGGAGCTACGCAAATAGTTAGACCAGCTCATAGAGAATGGATGAATTAGACCCGGTTCATCTCCTTTTGGCGCACTTATTTTGCTCAGCCCAAAGAAAGAGGGAGAACTTAGAATGTGTATAGACTACAGGAGTCTGAATGCAATAACCGTAAAGAATGCAAAACCATTGCCCAACATAGACGATCTGTTAGCTCGGGTGCAAGGTTGCAAGTATTTTACTAAGATAGACTTGAAGTCAGGGTACCATCTGATAGAGGTCTACTCTGATGACCAATATAAGACGGCATTCCGGACTAGATATGAGCATTATGAGTTTATAGTGATGCCATTTGGACTAGCTAATGCACCAGCCACATTTCAATGTTGTATGAATGACTTGTTTACACCCTAGATATATTCGTCGAAGTGTATTTAGACGATATCCTAGTTTTTAGCAAGTCCCTCCAAGAACATGAGGGCAATCTAAGGCATATCTTGGAGAAGCTGAGAGAAGCCAACTTCAAGATCAATGCAAAAAGTGTGAGTCGGCGAAGACAAAAGTCCTGTACTTGGGCCACGTGTTGGATGGAGATGGCATCAGGCTAGAGGATGGCAAGATAGCAGTGATTAGAGACTAGCGATTTCCTCATACTCCGACCGAGTTGCGTTCGTTCTTAGGACAGGCCAACTACTACAAAAAGTTTGTAAGAAACTTGTCTGTTGTCGCTGCTCCCCTTCGCAGACTCCTAAAGAAGGAAGCGATTTGAAAGTGGGACAAAGACCGCACCTCGGCCTTAAAGAAGTTAAAGAAGGCCTTGGTAGAATATCTTGTCCTCAAGATAGTTGATCCCTCATTATCCTTCATCATCACGACAGATGCAAGCCAATATGGCATAGGCGTTGTGTTACAGCAGAATGACGGCGATGACTATAAACGCGTAGAGTTCATGTCAGCTAGGCTGCCTTCTGATAAAGTAGCAGCCTCTACATATAAGAGAGAACTCTACGCTCTCAGATAGGCATTAGATCATTGGGGAGGCACTTTAAAGTCTACTCAGATCATGCAACTGTGAGATGGCTTAAGACCATACTTGCAACCGCATGAGCCGCACATTCGTGCGGAGTTCCGTGCAGGGGGTGCCCGTGCAGAATCGCGCAGGTTTTTTATTATTATTATTATTTTATTTTTTGGGGGGGGGGGGGGGGGGGGGGGGGGGGCGTATGACAGGAAGCTGGGGATATGGCGAGTAGAGGGGGACATGGAGAGGAGGAGGAGGATGTGGCCGAGGAGGACGACGAGAATAGCTAGGACGACGACGAGGAGGAGTAGAGATGGGGGAGGAGAAGAGATGGACGAAGGGAAAGAGGAAGGGCAGGAGGAGGATGAGTGGGAGGAGGAGGAGACATGTACGGAGAGGGAGGGGAGGACATGAGGAAGGTAAGGAGACGAGGAGGCATGGAAGATGGCGAAGTACGAGGAGGAGGAGGAGACAAGGAGGAGGAGGAAGGGCAGGAGGAGGAGACATGGAAGGCAGGAGGAGGACGAAAAGGAGGAAACGAAAAGGAGAAGGGAGGAGGAGGAAGGGGAGAAGGAGCAAGGTGAGGCAGCACTCCTACAAAAAAAAAAAATCATCCCGCTTATAATTTTGGCGGGGGGTCTCGAACGCATCGTGTCGAGCCCCGGCCTTTTTTTTTTTTCGAAGGGGGGTGACGGTTCGTTCCTCGCACATGTCGTGCGCCGCACGGGATCAGTTGGGCGCGTGCGCCGCCGCACGAGGTGCGCTTGCATGTATGCTTAAGACACAAGCCAAGATGACGCCCAAATCGACTAGGTGGGCAACAAAGATAGACCACTTTGACTTTGAGTTGAAACCTGACAAAGGCAAGTATAACGTGGTGCCTGATGCCCTAATGCACTATCTGGACATAGGAGTAGAGTAGATCTACAACAGAAAATAAGAGATGCGTACGCTCAGGACCCGATCTATAGTGATCTCCTGAGAAGAGTTGAGGAAACCTCTAATAGCGAGCCAAATTATAGAACCGCGAGCGGGCTACTCTTTGAGAACCCCGATCTATAGTGTCCCTCCTTCCAGCGGCGACACGGCTTAGAGTGAGGCGTTCGGGTTTATCGCTTGCACCTGACCCCGTATAAAGGATAGACTCAAGGTCAGCAGAGTCCCTATCATTCAGGAGTCCTTTAAGCTGCCTTGAGTGTAACCTACATAAAATAAGGAGGAAAAATAACAAACATGCATCATACATCATAGAGCACTTGACACTACCAACATGAGAAGACCAGAAACCAAACTCTGCAAGAGCATGACCAGAGAAACGAGACTGAAGAGTAGTACACAGAGTATGCAGGGAGCAGCCATTGGAGGGTTGTAGCCACTAATAAATAATAATGTCGTAATACATCAATAGTGACTGAAAAGAGAGAACCTCAATCAATGATAATAAGCGGTACCCCCTCGTGAGTGAGTGCTGCCGTCTGGGACTCCTCGTCATTGAGAACTCGTGTGGCTATAAACTCTGGAACCACATAGCTGATCTCGAGAGGCGCTGCTGGATCAATCTTGCAGATATAGGTCATGCATCTGGCCATCTTCTCGTCTGCGATGCTCCTGAGATAAAGCTCCTCCGCAAGGATGATATCGCCAGAAGCTCCAATCAATATCTCAATACGTCCTCTCCCACCAGAGTAAATGTAGGAAACCTCGAGAAAGCGATCTCCGTAAAGAGGCTTTCGATAAGCCTGCATAGCAAAGTCTGTCCCGACCAAATGACTATAGCCATCTCCAAGGTATGGAACCAGACCCTCCCCTCTTGGGGGACCAATAACTGTCTCAGACCCAGGGTCGTCTGACATGTAGGAGTCAATCACCCTCAAGAAGATACCGTGCAAGAAGATGTGCGATCCTCCTCAATGTCGCCCTCCGACGTCTCCGCTCGCAGGTCTCCAGCGCTCCCGTCACTGTCCTCAAACTCAATCTCTGTGAGTGTCCCAGTCGAAATAATCGCCAAGATCAACGTCACTCACAGAGCAAGGCTCCAAGTCCGACTCGTCCGTCTCTGATTTCGGGACACATGTAGTGATTGGGACTCCGGATCTGGTTATCTCTCTCTGGATCCGGTCGTCCTTTTTGCTACGGGGCTCACTAAGAGGCTTGGGGTTGCATCCATCAAAATCGAAGAGCACACCCCCAGGTGCTGAAGGTACACGAGGGAACACCACATGTAGCCAGTTGTCCCTCCAATAGCTCTCCCTGCGAAATATGTAATCAACAATCCAGTCGTATGTGGTGCCCTTCACCCCTGTCTCTGCCCCCTTCACCGAGTAGGTGATCACGAGCGTGTATCTCGAGGTCGAGGACTCATTGGCCCTGATAGTGAAACTCTGGTGTCCCACATGTCTGTAGTAGAACCTTGGGATCAATCTACCCCACTTAGGGGTAGTCTCACGATGACTGGCCAGCTTGGACAGAAAGCACACCCTCTCTGGTACGGGTACTGCCTCCAAGACCTGACCGGAATAGCAATCCGCAACTCAATATGGACGCCTGTCTGAATGGCCTGACCGAACTCGAAATAGGGCCCGCCTGAATGGGCCCGGCTGAACAGCAACTCAATATAAAGCCCGCCTGAATGGGCCCGGCTGAACAGCAACTATCTCAGAAGAAGGGGCCCGCCTGAAGGGTCC